CAAATTAGTTAGTCCTAAAAGAAATCAACCCTGACTGTTCCCTGGAAGGCCAGATACTGAAGCTGAAGCTCAAATACTTTGGCCACCCAATGAGAAGGGAGCACTCACTGGAGAAGACCCTGATGCTGGGAAAGATTGAAGGTCAAAGAAGAGGGGGACGGCAACGGACGAGATGGTTAGACAGTGTTAGCATGAAATTAAGCAAACTCTGGAGGACGACAGAAGACAGGAAGGCCTGGCGTGATGTGATCCATGGGGTCACGAAGAGTCGGACTCCGACTGTGCGACTGAACGACAACAACAAAAACAAGCTTTCGTGTGCGTGCACGCTTCTTCAGATACCTCAAATTTTGTTCTACATTTTGCATTACTTTACATTTGGTGTAGTGGTTAAGTGCACAGACTCTAATCTGGGAGAACCGGGTTTGATTCCCCACTCCTCCACTTGCACCTGCTGGTGTGACCTTGGGTCAGTCACAAGCTCTGGCACAGCTATCCTTGAAAAAGAGCAGTTTCTGTCAGAGCTCTCTCAGCCCCACCCACCTCCCAGGGTGTCTGTTGTGGGGAGGGGAAGGGAAAGGAGTCTGTAAGCCGCTCTGAAACTCCTTTGGGTAGTGAAGGGCAGGGTATAAATCCAATCTCTTCTTCTTCTCTACTCAAGGCATGTATTTATTTACTTATTTACTTCATTGATACGGACGAACAGAGGTGGTTTTGCCATTACCACCTGCTCTGCATAGCGACCCTGGACTTCCTTGGCGGTCTCCCATCCAAGTACTCACCAGGGCCGACCCTGCTTAGCTTCTGAGATCCGATGAGATCAGACCAACCTGAACCATCCAGGTCAGGGCAATGTCTCGTGATAGTCAGACAAAAATTCTCTTTATGTAGAATTATGTACGCCTGCTTTGGCAAGGAGGGCGGGGTATAAATTAAATAAATTATACACGGGGGGGGGGGACTTTGTGAGCTACACCTCTGCCAAGGAACAGGAGAACATTTCAGAATGCAGAATATCCTGGCAGACTAGAAAAAGGGACGGTGGTGTATGTAAACAAAGGGGAACAGCCCTTATGGATAGAACCTGATAGGAGGAAACAAAAGCAGAGGACCCGTCTGCTCGTTGGCCAGCCACACAGGGAGGGAGAACAAGGATGAATACGTTGGCCCCTCCCCTCCATGAGCACTGAGTCATTGGGAGCACACACACACACAGACACTTCCTACAAACAGAATCATAGAACTGGAAGGGTCCTCTAGGGTCACCTAGTCCAAACCCCTGCACAATGCAGGAAATTCACAAATACCTCCCCCCCTACACCCGCACTGACCGCTGTTCCACACCCAGGAGATGACAAAAAAAAACCCCTCCAAGATTGCTTCCTGACCCCAAAGTGGCAATCAGCATTTCCCTGGGCATGTAAGAAAGGGCCACAAGAACATGCAACATGCAAACAACTTCACAACTGTACAAGGCTGGATCCAGGAGATGTGTTCCTGCTCTCCTTCCCCTGCACAGGGCTCATGTGCAGCCTCTTATGGGACATTACAACATAAGAACATAAGAACATAAGAGATGCCAATGTTGGATCAGGCCAATGGCCCATCCAGTCCAACACTCTATGTCACACAGTGGCCAGAAATACCAGGGCCCATCAGGAGGCCCAGCAGTGGGGCCAGGACACTAGAAGCCCTCCCACTGTTGACCCCCCCAAGCACCAAGAAGACAGAGCATCACTTGCCCCAGAGTGCCTATCTATACCTTGTGGCTAATAGCCACTGATGGACCTCTGCTGGTTTCCTGCTTCTAATGTATTTGAAGAAAGTTTTATTGTTGGTTTTTACGTTTTTTGCAATATGCTCCTCATATTCCCTTTTTGCCTGCCTGACCACAGACTTGCATTTTATTTGCCATAGCCTGTGTTCCGTTTTATCAGCCTCACTGTGACTAGCTTTCCACCGCTTAAAAGGATCCTTTTTACCTTTTACAGCTTCCATTTCTTTGTTTGTTAACCATGCAGGCTTTTTCCTATACCTGTTTAATATATTTTATTTGAGCTTCTAGAATTGTAGTTTTAAACAGTTTCCAAGCTTCCCCAATGGTTTTGACCCTTTCTACTTTTCCCTTCAGTTTCCTCCCCACATGTCCCCTCATATCAGAGAAGTTACCCCTTTTAAAGTTAAAAGTGGTTGTGTGAGTCTTTTGGCCAATTCCCTATTTGTACAAATGTTGAACTCAACAACATTATGATCACTGTTCCCAAGCGGTGCAATCACTTTTACATCTCTCACCAGGTCTTGAGTGTTACTTAGGACCAAATCAAGGATCAACAGAGGATAACAGGAAACTCACTCTAGATCCTAAATGGAATCGAGAAATGGAACTGGTCTCAAGAGTAGTCCTATGGACCGGGTATAAAGCCAGCCCTTAATCCCTATTTTGAAACATTTATTTAACGCATTTATTAGCCGACGTCCTTCCCTATGGCACTCAACACCGCTTAAAACGTAAGTAAAGCACATAAAACCAAATAGATTAAAAACTTAAAAACCAAAATATAAAATCGTAACTCGGAACTAGGGATGCGCACGAACCAAATCACGAACCGAAATTTGTCACAAGCCCGGCTCGATTTGTGGTTTGTGAACTCGATTTGTGCCATCCCGCCACCACAAACCTCCCAGAAAACCCCCAGGTGGATTTTGGAGGTTTGCCTGGTTCATGTCGTGGCATGACTCGCAAGTGAACTCAGAAGACATTTAAAGATTCCTTTAAATGGCTTTTACAAGCCGTGGCACGGCACAAACCACAAATCGGTTCATTAAATGGAAAGGTTCGTGGTTCGTGAGGCCCCACGAACCACAAACTTTCACTTTCCTGGTTCATGCCCATCCCTACTCAGGACTGCTAGCAATCTCAATCAAATGTGGTCCTAAATAACACTGTCTTCAGCTGCATCCTGAAGATGGAGGGGGGGGCAAGTCAACCTCCCTGGGGAGGCTGTTCCATAACTGTGGGGCTACCACTGAACAGGCTGTCCCTTCTGCACCCACCAAATGAGCTTCTCTGATTGGTGGGACAGTGATCCCCATGAGCTTAATTCCTGTACCTCTATTTGTGTAAGAGGAAGAGAGGACTGAGTCTTATGAACCTCTTCACTCAACGACCCCATCTGATCAGCTAACCCAAGGACAGAAGAAAGCCAGGCAGACCTTGGCTGCTTATCGCTATGCAGTCGCAATATAAACGTACCTGACCTCCGTACGGAAAGAGGCTTCGTTCCATCTCGTTTTCTCATTGATTCGGTTGAACAGCCCTTCGCAAATACGAGGTATTAAACCAGTGTCCCCCTACAAAGAGATGAGCGATGGTCAATACTGGGTCATGTGGATACACAGCAGCCAAAAAAAAATGGAGGGGTTTTTTTTAGAATCATTGACACAGATAACATTTAAAAGCTAAGATCTTTGTGGGTATTGTGTGGCCAGAAAAATTTTAAAACATAAAATTAGCAAATAAAAATGTAGGTATAAGAGCATAAGAGAAGCCAATGCTGG